AGTGCAGTGCAGTTGTGTGGAATTTGGTGTGAATCAGGTAATTTTAATTTATTATAGGCACCTTCTATCAATCATTCATATTACAATTGCGAAAGGGAGAAATAAGAGGGATATTTTGTATATTATCACAACATGGCATTTTGGAGACCTTTTGAAACGGAACAAAACAAAATTTACCACCAATATAATAAAATTGTTTGAACACATAAATAATTAAAATATGTTGTTGGCCAAATGAACATATAATAAAAATTTTCTACACATTATATACAAATTATTATAATTTTTTACCTTTAGCAGAAAATTTTTTAGGGACGCCTATGAAACTCATTAAATTTTATTAATTATTATCAGACGTTTTTTTGCATATTCAACTGACTTCGGAAGGGGACTATAACAGAGAGCACGCTACAGATCACTGAGTCATCGTCGACAGCACAAAGGCTCGAAAATTTTCACCTCACTTCTGGATTTTTGAAAAATAAAATCTGATGTTAATACGCACGGGTCTGACATTTCAACATAAATGTGTTATAATAAAAAAAGTAAAGCGAATTCTGTTGACTTCTTCATTATCACCAAGAACCTCGCCAAAAACGTAATTGAGGGTAGAAAAATACTATTAACATATCCTCAAGCTCGATTCACGAAAAAAATTCAACAAACAAATTAAATATTTGATATAGCCGCTTCTAAATAGATTAAAATTAGAATTCTAAAGTAAAATTGATCCATATGAACTGTTTGACGTAGAATCGAGTGTTGATACTAGTTTTCAACGGATCAAATTTTTATGAAGTTGTAAAGCATACTTATATATTTTTTATTAGACATATAAATGTCATAATTATTTAAACAAATATGGGAAATACTGATTTGTATACAGCAATATATTTTTTTCTGTTTAATATGCCGATGCCGCCAAAAATTTATCTTTTTCAAATAGAAGTTTTGTTGTCACAGAGATTTACAGTAATTGAATACCTACATCACGAAACTGAAAAGAAATACGTTCCTTCACTTTTGGCGGCTGATAAAAATAAATTATTACCAGTGATTTATGTAAAAAATATAAAAATGTATTTCCTATATTCGTGGAAACACTAGGTACTAGGGCAGGGGTCGGCAAGTAATTTTAGGTGGGGTCCGGACACTTTTGAAAATTTTTAACGAGGTCCAAAAAAAAATTCATATTATTTTTTATTTTAATTTGGACTCAAATTTAATCTGCTTACTAACCATTAAGAACTCACACATTTGTAAAATACTAGAAAAAATTATAAGATTGGCACTTAAACGTAAAAAACATTTTTTAAATAATTTATTTGAGTAATTTATACTTTCAAAAAATTTTTGGCGGTCCAGTATTTTACCTTCCGCGGTCCGGACCTGGACCGCGGTCCGCCAGTTGCCGACCCTTGTACTAGGGGATATTATACTAATGAAAAACATAAAAAATGTATCTTTCTAGACAATACCTGCGGTTCCCAATTGAAAAATTATGTTTATTTCATAGTTTCGTAACCAGGAAATTTACTAAAAGATCAAAAATGCTATCATTAATCGATTCTGCACCGAAAAATCTACATATACCTACATACAGAGCAGTTATTACTTTAATTTTCATTTATTTAGAGGCAGAGGTGACGGAAAATATTTCCAAAATCAATATGACCCTAAAACAAATTAAGATATCAAATATTTAATTTAATAAATGAATTTATATTGAAAATCGAACTCAAAAACGTATCATCCATTTTCACTCATTGTCAGTGTCGTATTTCATACAATCAGTTCCGTGTATTTAAAAAAAATCGTTATAATTGAAAAATTAGACACGCGTGGCCTGGTTATCGTACAAAAATAGAATACAGGGTTTCTAACGCTTAGGTTCCCGCAGTTGTATTGGCATTTTCTGCTAAATTCAAAGACAAAATGCAGTTTTAATTACTAACTATTGAAGTATCACATATATACGAAAATATACAACAGCCTGGGTCCAGCTAAAAACATTTAACATTTCTTAGCAAACAATCAAAACCCAGACGAGTTCATGCATTATGAATTAGTCATTTCCTAAATCCCAGCATCGGAACCCTCAAGGACCTGACTTAACCGATTAAAATTACTGCAATAATATAAATGAGGACAGCGGGAATCTCCGCGAGACGTACTTGTAACTTGTAACAGTGTCGGTGAGTCATCGAAATGCAACTGTACCTCAACCCACCATTGCGATATTTTCCGTCACGCATAAGTGAACTTTACAATCGGTCATTATTGATAAAGCCAACGTCATTATTTAAATATGTACAAAACTTGAACATATAAACTACATCAAATTTCGTATCTGAAAATAAAGAAAACGTATCTTTATGAAAGATTTCATAAACAGTTGCGGATAATTGATTATTTTTTATTTAGTTCTAGCAGCGCAAAACGGTTCATATTTCGAAACGAGATTTGCAAAAAAGGACGCCTATTTTCTTCATTTTTATGCTACACCCCAAAGTAAAGCTGCTACAGGTACTTTGCAGGCTATATATTTTTTAATTTAATAAATGATGATGAATTCCAAAATTTTTTGAGGATAACACCAATTTGGAATTTTAACTGAAAATATTGGTACATTTATGATTATGCCCATACAAAATAACAAAATTTAGAATTGCAAGTCTAAATTCGACCGTGTTTATGAAGAAACCTGTCCACATCAGGCAAATGCTTGTGTTTGAAACTTTTGTTTCCCATCCTCGATCCTATATCCTAGATGGGATTACACAAATATGTGCAAACAATTTCTACACATGTTTTTGTTAGGCATAACAAATAAAAACCCTTGTACCGCGAAACAATGAATGTATTTGACTTGACCTTGATATTGACATTCAAGACATTAAAAGTCACTCATTCAGAAACCAAGACCTCTTCTAGCATTAAGCATTCACTAGAATTACTTGCATTGTTACGTTCCATGCATCGTTAATGGTCAACGGGCAATCTTATATACCTACTAAATCTGACTTTGATATGAACAAATTTCTTAATTTCACTTTAAAGACGTGATTCGTTATGTTTTACAAAATACCGATGAAATATGAATGACATAGGTAGATATATACCCCTTTTAAGAATTAGCGAAATCCCCTCATTTCAACTCTAATTAATAAAACTAACTTCACGCATAATACTCGTATGACTCATAACAATAACGGCAAGTCGACAACTTTGGCCACAGAATAAATTACAGCTGCAAAGTAAATACTACTGCCTATATAAAACGAATATAATATGAATACATACAATACTTAGATGCACCTTTCTGAAATGTGCTGAAACTGTTTTGCATATTCGTAAAGGCAAGACGCAGATCAAAGATAATATTAGTAAATTATGCTTTTTTTATAACACATGCATTTGACGTGCTGTGGAGGCGCCCCAATTTATTTCTATTTAGTAGGTACGGCAATAAACGTAACATTCACGGAAAAGATTAGATTGAAATAAATATATTAAAGTACCTATATCAAATTAAAAGGTAATATTTACTGTAGCCTTTAATTATCATGTAATCAATCAAATATTAACAAAATTAATCGTACTTTCGCAATAAAATCTCTCACAGGGTGTTAGTAACACTTCAACTTGTCAATGAATCGAATGAAAATGACCTCCTTTTTGAGACAGGTTATTGAAGTCTAAAAAAATATATCTCTGCATATCTTTTGAACAAATGAAGATATTCAGGTAAAATATTGTACAATACACAATACATAATTAAAATAGCATTCAACGTAATAAGTTTTCGCTCAAACCTGTGGTGTAGATATGACACCCCACTGGAGAAAGAATATATTGCTACTTTTAAAATGTAAATTTTATTTTGAAGGAAAATAACCTGCTTGCGTAGTTCTTACCCGAGTTTTGCTGTTTTGGTACCAATTTTCATTTTTTAAACATGATACGCTTAAATAAATAGAATTTAAATGATCCAAAATGTCAAAATTCACTTTTTAGTACATCATATTATCTTTTCTTCTCTTACAGATTCTCGTATTCTAACGAATTTGCTGATATCCACTGAGTTAGAGAACTTTAACACACTATCTCGGAAACAAGAACTTCAACGAATGTATTTATAATAAAATATTCATAAATTTGAACAGGAAAATCGTAAAAATTAAGATTTTTGACAAAGTTACACCCTGTATAGGCAATAATATTACACGGAAGAACGAGCATTAAAGTTTGTGTAATTAAATGTTAAAAGCTTGTAATTTTCACTTTCACACGTAACATGCCAGGTGCATGAGTTATATAATTAGTAGGTACTGTTTAATTAAACATATATCTCGGTTGTAAACACAAAGGTAACCAACAATTAAATACAACTAAGTAAGTCCTTGCATGTGACATTTTTCCAATATTTATTGCGTTTCTCATATATTTTAAAACTATGTACAAATATTTCTTTTCAGCTTTCACAGATACAAGAAAGCTGATATATTTACAACAATACTGAGTTTATCATTCAAGGAATTGTGATGATAACTTATATATTCTTTATCACTGTTGTGTTAAGAACAGGGAATGGCAAATTTTTTCATTATTCCTAGATTACTGGTATTTCTACATCCTTTAAATACTTTCATAGTCAGAACTTATAAACTTCAAGATTTCTAAAGTTCTCTTAGTACACCAATTTTTTTAAGTTTCAAAAAGCTGCTTACTGATTCATTCTATATTTATTTTATTGAACATCATTTCAAAAATTGTTAACCTTTTTATCAAGTAATAAAATAATAAATCATTACTAAAAATCATAAAAAAAAAATACTGAATTTTTTAAATCTCCGTTACATTTTATAAATTTTACAATAGAAAAAGGTACGTTTGTGTCACATCACATGCATTTAGAATATTAAGCTGACGGTAACAATTAAGGTTGGTTAAAAAAATCAATAAGGGGTGTAAGTGGATTATAATAATTATTCTCTTACCTTTCTTCCATCCATGGTATAGATATTCCTGACACCACTGGGCAAAGTAACATTTTTAACTAGTATATTAGTTAATTCTGATGTTAAACTATCGAATGACCTGTATCGTTCTGGTGCCACTGGTATAACAATCCCATTAAAAAACTTATTTCCATTATGGTAAAATCTGATCCTCTTCGCTTTTTGTGTTCTTGATGATGAAGATGGTCTGTTACTTTTGCTACCTAAACTTAAATCCTCGAGACCACTATCAATAATCTCACTATCAGACATGAAACTGTTAAAACTATTGGAGGAAACACTCCTAGACCCGTTTAAGTTATTTTTCGACATTTTCCTTACTTCGTCAATAGTACTTTTTTCAGACTATCATTCTGTTACGTTAACTTACTTTTTTCCAGGATTTTTATGTAGGTACCGCCTATTACTCACACAGCTGTCAGGATTACACTTTAAATGGGTCAAAAATCAGGAAAAAATCATTTCAACTTCACTTACAATCAGAAGAGATAAAGCACACTCGCAGAGCGACAACACAGTTACCGAAAAAAAAAGTTAAATTGTTTAAAAATAACTGTTTATTACTAGAAAAAAGGTAATAACCTCTTTTCAGCTAGAGGGAGGGATATAAAATTTGTTACATAGTCATACCAACGTTACAAATACGAACAAAAAATGTACACTAAATCAATTTCATTGTTAGTGTTTTTCATATTTTTATATTGTCCGCCCTGCTACTATATCGAAAAGCAGCAGAAATTTGTATTTATACACGTGAGTTTAATTTGAATAAAAATGGTTAGAAAATTAAAATATCATGAACAGAAGTTGTTAAAGAAAGTTGATTTCATTTCTTGGGAGGTAGATAATAACTTACATGAAATAAAAATCCTGAAAAAATACCATATTCAAAGAAGAGAAGACTACACAAAGTGAGGTTAGTAATTTAAAATTTTTTGTTTTTCTATTAATTTTGTTTTTAGGTATAACAAACTGGCCCGAAATATTAGGGAATTAGCTAGGAAAATAAAAGAAATAGATCCTAAACACCCCTTTCGTACAGAGAGTAGTGCACAATTGTTAGAAAAATTGTAAGCAAAATTGTTTGGTTTAAGCTTTCGCGATAAAATAAACATTGTTTTAGATATTTAATGGGATTGATTCCAACGAGGTGGGACCTTAGTCTAGCAGAGAAAGTTACAGCATCATGTTTTTGTAGGAGGAGGTTAGCCGTTGTTATGGTTAGAAATAAAATGTCCGAAACGATTAAAGGAGCAACAAAGCTTATAGAACAAGGCCATGTAAGGATTGGCCCTGAACTAGTTAAGGATCCTGCTTTATTAGTAACCAGAACTTTAGAAGATTTTGTTACTTGGGTAGATAGTTCAAAGATTAAGCAACATGTTCTAGAATATAATGGAATGGTAAGATATAATCAATTTAATTATTAGTGTTAACTACGATAATGATTGGATAATGTAGAGTTTTAAATTCAATTAGAATAGAGTTCAGGGGCACGTGGCTCGCTACAGAACCGGACATAGTTTATACGTTCACAGAAAATGTGCCATAGCACAGTAATATTAAAACTAAACAGTAACACTAAATATTAAGAAAACACTAACAACTATATACAGTGGAGTTAAATTATATCCCAAAGGATAGTGCAATTATGTGGTCCTAAACGGATGATGTAATAAACGAACTGAGAGCCAACAAATTTATGTTTTACTTGGTATAATGGGGTGTGTGCCACCTTTCAAATGAAATAACATGACAAAAAACTTGCCCTGAATTGTTCTCCTTTTGTATAAATCATTATTTAATTGCGAATTATAAAAAAATTTAAGACCAATACGAATTTGACGGGCAGCTGAGGATGCGTAGAAAAATGCCTTAATTGTGCCGTCTTAATAGGAAGTTCAACTAAAATGTCATACCACTGTCTAGTACAGGGGTTGGCAAGTAATTTTAGGTGGGATCTGGATACTTTTAAAAATTTTTAACGAGGTCCACAAAAAAAAACTCATTTACTAATTTTTTATTTTAATTTGCACACAAATTTAATCTACCTACTAACCATTAAGACCTCAAATCAGTCGCACAATTGTAAAATACTTGAAAAAATTATAAAGGTGACACTCTTTATTATTATCTATAGAAAAATATTTTTTAAATAATTTATTTGATTACTTAATTTATACTTTTAAAAAATTTTTGGGCTCCATTATTTTACCTTCCGCGGTCTGAATCTGGACCACTGTCCACCAGTTGCCAACTGCTGGGCTAGTATGTCACAAGTTAATAACAATTGTGTAAGGTTCGAGTTAAAATTTTTAGTCAGATAAAAATGTATGAGTTTTTAGTGAAATCGCATTAACTTTCTTGTAGATTTATACTCAGTGACAAACATGCAAACACCCCATTGTTATAAAATTAAGAAACATGAGATACCTACTTTACTTTTTAAATCATGAAAATTTTCATTATTTTTGACGTTCTCGTAAAAATGCTGAATATTCTCCAATTTTCTAGAAAATGTTTTTAGAAAAGGCGTTTTTCATTAATTTTCTATGAGTGGGGGACATATTCATTAGAGTTTGATCAACTTTGACATTATTTTATTAACATTTTGAACTACGTTTACAAATTTTTTTCAAGTTATTTGTGTTGAAAATGCCGATGTTATGGGCTGTTGTCCACGGAAGGTTTGGTTTTAGGCTTGTAAAATCGGAACGAATAGGAATTTCGTTTTGAAATTTTGGCAGCATATTCTTGAATAGTTATACTAATAATTTATGCAATAAAAAACTGATTTTCTTGAACCTCCTAATGTCGTTTCCCCCTCTAAAGTGCCCTATGTTTTACAACATTTACAAAAACAGTATTTGAAAAAAAGTAGGTATTGAAATGTGGGTTTCTATTTGGGTGTTGCGAAATTTGAAAATTCAGAAAAAAATTCCCTGTTTCCAAAGGGAACATTCGTGAATATCCTCAAAAGCACGTTGAGAATATTATATTATTATATTATACAAGCGTCCAATATAAATCAGGGTTCGTAGTTCAAAAGTAATAAGGAATTCCCTGACTTTTCCAGGTTTTCTCCGACTCTTCTCCAGGTCACTTGTAGTTCACTTTTACAATACTAATTGGTGTTTATGCATTAAACTTTTTCTCAACTGGACTCCATAATCTTTTTTATACCCAAAGAACCTCTTATAAAGGTTTCAAAACCACAAATAGTTTTCTCTTTCGACAACCCAGGGCCGGCTTTCGCAAAATTTCCAGTTGCAAACATCAAATTCCCTGACTCATGAATATTTTTAAAATTCCCTGACTATTCCCTGTTTTTCATGTAGAATAACAAATTCCCTGACTTTTCCCGGACCCTACGAACCCTGTAAATGCATTAAACAGATGATTGATGCCTAGGAATATCTAGGAAACACTGAAATGACAACCGAAAGAATGAAGGAACGAGTTGCAAGCCATGTGTCCTACACTCTAATGATAAATCATACAAAGGAGATGCTTAAATGAATCGTCTATAAGAAAATAGTAAGTAAACTTTGCCAAGTTTAGCATTTTTTTTTTTTTTTCAGAGGGACGATTTTACTTTATGAGTGGAATCAATAATTACCTGTATATTGTAAAGACATTAGATACTGCAAAATATTTAATAAAAATAACTTTTGTTTACATTGATTTATAAACATAACCTGCCTTGCACCTTAAAATCAAATATAAAATAATACAGAGTATAACTTTAAGTGAGGGTCAGTTTTTTAGGGGTAATAGTACGTGTTCCCTTTAATCAAATAAATAGTTGAGTTATAGTTTTTTAAAATGCACTTTAGTACTTGTACGCCACCACTGTAATCATGTATTACAAATACATGAATTGTAGGCAACCTACAATGCATGTTAAGGGAGATAGTGCTGGTAAACAGTGACGAAGTGAAGGGCGTCAGTTATTCCGCATTTGGAGACACAACATCTAACTGTGAATTTGAATGTTTTTCATCGCTGGAAGCCATCAATAGACTTTATTATGTGTTTTATTTGTCATTATTGATTACTACGCGAGTTTTTTACTTGATTACTTGTTAAAAACTGTTTGTGTGACGAACACCCACTCAACAAAAGTAGGCCAATGGTGTGAAATTATACATGCGATGCGACTAAAGTGTGCCGTTATTTGAGGTTACACTAGGTTTTCCAGTGGTTTTTTGGCGGAATCTGAAGAAATAAACATGTGTTTCTAATGGTCAAAGGAGGCCTCTGTATAAATATGAATCCCACTCAAAGTTACGCCCTGTATAAAGGAAATTTATCTTTAACAATACAACATGAAAACATAAGATAACATATGTTGTCTTAAATACATTTGTCATTTTATAAATACCAGAACAGTTAAGTAGCGGCAATTTGAAGCATTTTTTCAATACTGACTATCTTCTCTCTTGGTTTCCCAACTTTCCGACCCTCTTCTTCCTCGTACTTATCTATTTTCTGCCAGTCTTTCCACGTTACGACTTGTACATTGTTTTTGTGTAACAATTCCATAATTTCTTCATGTCCCCCTTTGTTTTCATTAATTAGTTTTTCAGCTTGTACATCGTGAAGTATCAAGTCCGCTACGCCAAACGCATTGCTCATAGTCGTAAGAATCACGCCCGTAGGACCCGTACCAAGCCATCCCGATACATATACCCCTGTCTCGATTTTGCCGTTTGTGTTTTTGACTACTCCACGATCGAAATTGAATGGTATGTCTTTATCTGCCTGAATTGATTTATAGCCTATGCTGGGTATAGCTAAATCACATTTTATCGTTTCTCTGTCCTTTGTTAATAGTGACTTTTTGTTTAAAATATCATCGCCTTCCAGCTTATTTATGCCGACAATCACTTCTTCAACTTTGGTTTTTCCTAGAATTTCCAAAGGCGATCGATGAAAAACTGGTTTGAAGGTGTTACCATCACATGCGGAATTCTTCTGTTCAGAGACAGATTTTATCATGAGCTCTGTGATTCGTTTTTTAGGTCTAGCTAATTTAGGAACGCAATCGGAAATACCTTCAAAGTCTTTTGGTTGCCATTCCGTCCTACAGTTTTCTAGTTTTAACATCTCCCGAAGCTCTTTTATCGTGAAAGCTGCTTGCAAAGGACCTCTTCGTCCTATCAGGTGAATAGTTTTAACTTTAGAACGAGATATAACTTCTAGTGCATGTTGCGTTATATCGGTTTTCTGAAATAGTGAAAAGACAAATATAAAAGGCCTAAAACTATGACAATAGTTTGATGACCTACCTTTAACTGATCGACTGGTGTTAATAAAACCCTAGCAACATCTATAGCAACATTTCCTTGCCCAAAAATCGCAGCCGTTTCTCCACTAAGGTCTATTTCTAGGTTAGAATCCCACGGAATTCCATTGTACCATCCCACAATTTTTCTCGCCTCAATAACATTTTTCTTATTCTCACCAGGAATGTCTAATTTCCTACCTTGTTCTGCACCATAAGTCTAAAGCAATGAAAGTAATAAGAATAAATTATTTCATGTTCAATTTACCTACAAGTAAAACTATGTGGTAAGCATTTTTTAAGTGAGCTAATGAGACATCACTGCCTAGATTTACATTTCCTAAAAATCTAACACATGGATTTTCCGCCGTTTTAGAAAATGTGTTGATAACATTTTTTACTTCTGGGTGATCTGGGGCGACGCCAAATCTAAAATACGTTTATTTTCCGTCAGTAAAACTTTTATATTGTACTTTGTTATTAGGTACCTTACTAAACCAAAAGGTACTGGTAGCCTTTCGTAAATATCTATTTCAGATTCAGACTGCTCCAATTTCTTTGCTAAATGTTGTGCTGCATAGAAACCTGCTGGACCACCGCCTACGATACAAATTTTTGGTTTTATTTTTTGGAATGACAAAAATCTTTTTAGAATAGAAACATTCCCTACTTTCATTTTTGTCGACAAATTGTAAATTAGGCGTAGATTCTCGATTAGATAGTCCTTCAGCTCTGATATGGCTCTGATTAGGATAAATTTAATTGTTTAATATGAGATAAAACATAACCTTACCACTTTGAAGTTTGAACTTTGATCATGATCATAAAGGGTTTTTTGGCGAGCCAAATCACATCAAACCCGGTTAGCTCGAGTTTGATTGTGTTAAGAGTTTGAGTTAACATTTGACAGAACTCGCAAACATTCTTTTGGTTTGGATCTAATCAATAATAAAATCGTAACCTATATTCTATGATAGTGCTCGTAGCTCAAGTTCTTTGATTATTTCTTATATACTATAGTTGTTATTCCTAATCTGAAATGGACATCCATGAAATAACGTTAATGTATAGATGGTTATTAAATCAAAATGGGTTTACCTTGTTCACAAATATTATCTATTCCAACGCAAATGTATCGTCTATAAGGAAGTTAATAAAGATCTATACAATACAATATAGAAAATGCATATCTACGATTAGTTATTTGGATCCTCGATTACAATTTTTTTTATTATCAATTTTAAATATTACTTTGTATTTTTTGCAAAGTGATCCATTACCAATTTTTTTTATTCACAACTTATTTAAACCTCTAAAAAAACGAAGAAGTGACTAGGTACGATGGTACGAAACAGAAAATAAATAAACAAAGATAGAAATATTAACTTAAGATCCAAACCAACCCACAAGTCCGGTTTGATGGTTAGGCAAACTCTGCCAAACCGGGTTAACTACATTTCTCGCCAAAACGTCAAACCGCAACAAACTATAGTTAACCGGGCTAGCGGTCTTCTCGCCAAAAAACCCTTATAGAATATTTTCTGTGACCTTAATTAATTTCACTTCATTGATCTTAAAGGTTAAGATGTGAAATATTTCCATTGATTCGATAACCCATATACAAGCACACCACAGAACACCCTCTAGAATAGAAACTGATTACTCAGCATTTTTACACACAGTTGACAGCACCGCCTTAGGTGAATGCGAACCAAAGTTTCGCATTTAGCGTAGACAATTACTCCTGATCTGTTACTGAAGCTATTCAATAAAAGATGGCGCTACAATTTTGAGCGGTAAATTCGATTTTGACAATTTTGATTAATATATATGTATCTAGGACAAAAAGTGAAGCTTTAAGTATGAGTAAATTTTTACGGCAGAAGCGTAGCCGAGGCCGTAAAAATTTACGAGTACCCTAATGCTACTTTTCGTCCCTGGTACATACAATTTTTATGACTATTTAAAAAATCAAATAGTATTTATTTATACTATGGTAATACGTGGGTTACCATAGAAATTTCTTTGAAGTACTAGGACTTTTACTTTATCGTCCTAGAACTTTAAAGTTCTATTTTTTGTCCAAAAAATGATTCAAAAAATGGTTAACTATTGAACAGTATGAAATAAAATTTATTTATAAATTTGACTATTAAAAGAAATAACTTAAATTTTGCATAAAAATAAACTAATCCATCATACTTAACAAATCATTTCAGGTAAAAAAAGAGTAGTTTAAAAAACCAGCACTTTATTATAAGAAAACATATTCATTTTCTAATTTCCTTAATAGAAATGGGTTTTAACATAATTATAACAAAATTTTTCATTTAGATTCTAAAATGATTGATGAATTGATATAAAGCTAGTATCATTTATTCCCTAGTACAACTACGGAGGCACGAATTCAACATATATAAGCTGAATTATTATACAGGGTGTTCCTAAATAAGTGTCGCAACGGAAAACTGTAAATTCCTCTTGAAAAAAGAAACATTTTTTTCCTCTTCCATTTTTCTCTCCGGGCTTTCGTTTTCGAGATACATGGTGTCAAAACTTTAATTTTTTTTTGTTTTTTCGCCAATATCTTAGGAATCGTTTGAACTACAGGACTGAGCTTTTGTACACACATTACCACTATTAATAGCTACTTTTTCGCACCCTTCTCTGATTCATTGGACGTGCCAGTAGTGGAGATTTTAAGGTATCGTAAGGGTTTCCCCCCCCCCCCCTAAATTTTACACCACTGGAAAAATTGACCTTTGACAGCAAATTCTAAAGCGCCAATGAATTTTACACAATAAGAGTTCTCTTGGTTCATTGCTCTAAAGTGAACCGTTTTCAAGAAAAATGACTTTTCATGAACAAAAGCAAATATTTTGCTAACGTTTCGAAAATCTTTTGTAATTCAAAAAATAGGTAGTAATAATTAACAATTTTAACGAAATTCAACAACAGATAGCATTTTAACTTTTTTTTATCGATTTGGCGAGTAAAATTTACAGAAACTGTTCAAAATTACGTCCGTTGGCTTGAATGCACGCATTACATCTTCTAATCATGTTTCTTTCTGCCACTGCGGCTTCACCTCTATCAGTCAACTTTTCGATAGTATTGACATGGAACGTTACTAAAAATGTTTACTTTTGTTCAGTCATTTTTCTTGAAAACGGTTGACTTTAGAGCAATGAACCAAGAGAACTCTTATTGTGTAAAATTTATTGGCGCTTTAGAATTTGCTGTCAAAAGTCAATTTTTCCAGTGGCGTAAAATTTAGGGGGGGGGGAACCCTTACAATACCTTAAAATCTCCACCACTGGCAGGCACGTCCAATGAATTCGAGAAGGGTGTGAAAAAGTAGCTATTAATAGTGGTAATGTGTGTACAAAAGCTCAGTCCTGTAGTTCAAACGATTCCTAAGATATTGGCGAAAAACTAAAAAAAAAATTAAAGTTTTGACACCGTGTATCTCGAAAACGAAAGCCCGGAGAGAAAAATGGAAGACGAAAATAATGTTTCTTTTTTCAAGAGGAATTTACAGTTTTCCGTTGCGACACTTATTTAGCAACACCCTGTATCTGGTGGATCGTTGTACAGACCCTTTAGAGACACCCTGTATAGCGGGTAGTTTTAAGGGCTGACCACCACATTGTTTCACATCCAACATTTTCACTCATTTTTTTTAGGCTGCATTTTGTAGACACGAAATCGCACTTTTAGTAAGACAATCATAGAATAATCTGTTTAAAAACCAGAAAAATGTTTAAATACAAGCATTCTATTAATTTTTCACGGTTTAAAATCACGGAAAACAAGTTTTATCGAAAATTTTGTAAAAAATACTCAATTATGATTAATTCTGCGAGGTGTGATTATGTTTACAGTCAGGGCCGGTTTTCTGACTAGGCCTCGTAGGCCTGGGCCTAGGGGCGCCCCTCTGCAGGGGACAGGCGCATAGTGTACTAAGTCGAGGGACAAAATCTAATAACTTTTGATAGGCATTAAATGAAGACAAGAGTGATGTCATTGGAAAGGTTGAGTAATAAAAAATTTAAAAAAAAAAATGAAATCTGTCAAAGGCAACGTAATTAATCCGGAGTACAGTATTTTCATAAGAAAATATATTAAAAACAATAAACATACTATTAAATTTTAATCATCCTCATCGAGCGAGTCGCTGTCATATACGCTTCCTGAAGTAATCCTGCAAAACAATTTTATTTTTAATTATAATTTAAATTTTAGAGAGCATTTGTTTGCTTACTGATCTTGAATGAATTGTTCTACATTAGACAAATTGATGAATTGAAAAAAATATACTGCTCGATCGAACATATCTTTTATCCGATTTAATCTACTACTCTGCCGAGCATGATAGGTCATGTTTTATCCATAAAACATATGCCAGGATTCATTGGCATCTTCTGAATAGTAGTCGACTGGAAGAGGTAGTTGTCGGATAAAAGATGTGTTCGATCGACCAGTGTATTTTTCTGATCCGAAAATATCGTTGATTCTCATAAATCGTCGATTAAGAAAAGAACACTAATTTGTCTAATGTAGAACAATTCATTCAAGATCAGTAAGTAAACAAATGCTCTCTAAAATTTAAATTATAATGAAAGATAAAAATTGTTTTGCAGGATTACTTCAGGAAACGTATATGCACGCATTACATCTTCTAATCATGTTTCTTTCTGCAGCTGCGGCTTCACCTCTATCGGTCAACTTTTCAATAGTATTGACATGGAACGTTAGCAAAAATGTTTGCTTTTGTTCATAAAAAGTCATTTTTCTTGAAAACGGTTGACTTTAGAGCAATGAACCAAGAGAACTCTTATTGTGTAAAATTCATTGGCGCTTTAGAATTTGCTGTCAAAGGTCAATTTTTCCAGTGGTGTAAAATTTAGTGGGGGGGAAACCCTTACGATACCTTCAAATCTCCACCACTGGCACGTCCAATGAATTCGAGAAGGGTGAGAAAAAGTAGCTATTAATAGTGGTAATGTGCGTACAAAAGCTCAGTCCTGTAGTTCAAACGATTCCTAAGATATTGACGAAAAACTTAAAAAAAATTAAAGTTTTGACACCGTGTATCTCGAAAACGAAAGCCCTGAGAGAAAAATGGAAGAGGAAAAAAATGTTTCTTTTTTCAAGAGGAATTTACAGTTTTCCGTTGCGACACTTATTTAGGAACACCCTGTATTATATAAATTATTGTTATATCGTGACGTGCATATGTTATTGTCCTCACTATATATACATATATACATATTTAAGAGAACATTTTAATAAAACACTTTTCATCGATAAAACTCACCAAATAAATTTAAAGTAGGCACTGCCGTAAAAGTTAATCTTCTTTTTGTTCCCTGAACAAAACAGGTTGGTAAAAAATGTTCCTCACAGACATAATATTTATTATACAGGGTGCCGAAAATTAGTAGGTCAATCCGTTAACCATAGATAGCTGATATGAAAATAATGGGACTTTCATTATGCCACTTTTCAATTAGGAGCCCCATTTTTGAAATACAGGGTGTCAAAATGTAAATTTCAAAAACGAAATTTGTCGATAACTCCGGTAGAATTAGAGATATTTGTTTGAAATTTCGCTAATATTTTTTTCTTGTAGAGACACACTTTCAGTATACTTTTGGTAAAAAAAATCAAAGCACGAGCGGAGGTGAGGGGGTTAAAGTGCATTATGACCCCCCCAACTTTTTCATACGCACGCCTATGGTAAAAACATATATTTTCTTAGATAAAGCGG